TATCAATAATACTGTATCGAGTTTGTTCTTTTAAGGAGTCGAAAAACTCCATAAATTTCTTCTGCACTTTACTTTCGCTATCGCAATGCTGTTGTAAAAGTGATAAATCTAAACTTTCGATCGATATTGGTGTTTCACTTGTGAGGTAAGAAAGGATTTCGTTAGGGGAAATGCTTGCTGTGTCTAAGACATTTTTTCCTACTTCGTGCGAAACTGGAATGGTATATTTGGTTTTATGGAGCTCAACCTCAAGAAATCGAACCTTCTTCTTAATCTCGTTCATTTCTTCTTGGGAAGAGACTATAAGAAAAATTTTTTTCAAAAAATAAAGAAGATTGGCGCCTTTCAAGGTTAGCGCGTCACGTTTGAGTTGACCAATCATTACGACACAAAGGCTTACCTTGATGTTCAGCTAAATTAAGATTATCAAAAAAAAAGATTTTGTCTTAGCGTCACGGACAATAATAATGGCTAATATTTTATAAATTATTCGATAATATACCAGAAATATTACGAAGAAAATCTTTCAAAAGATTCCTTTTAGATTCTTCTGTTTCGCACGAAACTGCAAGTGCTGAATTTAATTCTTTTCTTATTTCGTGATTTGTAATTAGGTAAATTTTGAGTTTGTTTGCTTCTGCTTCATCTAGACCAAGGTTATTAATTATTTCGTAGATATCAGACATCTTGTGTTTTTGATTTGAAAGAGATGAAAAATAAAAAACGATTTTCTGTAGAGGTTTATATATATTATTCGGAATAAACTTTTATTAAACTTCACTTATTTATGTGAACGCGTTATAAGCTTAATAAACACCACTGATTATTAATTGAGAACGCGTTTTATAAGTCCGAACTCAATATAAAATCATTATGATAAAATACATTTATTTTTCGATTTAACAATTACTTAATATAATTACAAAAATTTCGAGTCATCGTGAAATATTTTGAATTAAATAATATATAATTTTTTTCAGATGCCACACAAATTTTATTATAATTTCAGATATAGAAAGAAGCAAATGAGTATGATGCTATCAAAGAGGGAGGGAGCACGCGGATAAAAAGGGTTTTTGTAAAAAATTTTGATTACTAGAGTCTAGTCACGAGACATAATAAATCATATGTGTGTTTAATAGCAAAATGAGGGTTTTCGTTTTTCTACTCGACCAAATAATTTTTTAAGCAAAAGTATATAATCTCACACACGTCTTCAATAGAATTTCTTATCATTTCTCCTGGACAAGCGTTATCGGATTAAGGTTAATTTCAGCAAAGTTAAGTGTATCCAAAGGTATATTAAAAAATGACATACCTTCAATGATAATGAATTTAATGCCATTTTGGACACAGGGACCTGTTGGCATTATTTAAAAATGTTTCGTCGTTTCTTTCGATGAAATCTAACCTTTTAAGCAGAAGAAATTCAGAAGATTAATTATTGATATCTGTCCATTATCCACGCAGCGTGGTTGTTGTCTACAATAACTCAGATTGTATGAAAGCTATTATAAAAGTCAGAAAAGAAAGAAACAAATTTTTATTAATAAAGGTAAAGCTAAAATTAAAATAAAGTTTATATTCACAAACATTTTATTTTATCATTGAAATGAATTAATTCAAATTGGGATAACCAGGAGAAGAATTCATAACCCCGACTTATTCAACAAATTTCCGGTATAATTCCTATCAAATACGATTTGAATTGCTAGTTTGTTAAAAATTCCCTCCACGATTTATTCCAAGTATTGGAATAACTGGACTTATAAAACTGGACCATCTAAGTGACTGATCCGGCGACCTTCAAAATCCACATTTGTTCATTATATAAAAAAAAGGAATTTATATCTAATATTAAATAAGCAAATAAAACGTAAAATATTTAAAATAACTTTTGTGGAAAGGTAAACAGATTAGGTAAATATGATGTAAGAATTTTTTTTAATATGTCGGTGATCTACACTAACTATTACAATTCATCGGGAAATGAACTCAAGTTGCTATTAAAAATGATTCCAGACAATGACAGTTTAAATTACTTCTGCTTAAATGCAATACTCAATAATTTCAGTTTATTTAAAGCAAAATTTATTTATTGAACTATTATAAATTCCAAAAAGTAATTTCGAAATAAACAATCGATTGCTCAAAATGTAATAACATGTTCTTATGAATTGTATGGATAACATCTCAAAATTTTCAAAAATTCCATTCAAACTGTCAGCAAGAAGTTGGCTAGGCATTTAATAAAAACAAAAAAAAAAAAATGTTTTTTGTTGAAAATTGATCATCAATTTGGTGATATTGACGCCCGGGTATTAGCGAACAAGTACTTACAATATTAAGTTTCGTCGGTTTAGAATTTTAAAAAGTCTACCCAAGTTTGGTTAATGGTTGAACGTTAGAATCAATATTTTTAGAAAAAAAAAAAAATAAAAAATAATTTGTCAATAATGATCTTCAAAAAAATTTTATATTTAAATTTAAATTGTATTTCCGTTTTCCTGAATTTCTTTTCCCACGAAATTTTTATTTAAATTGCAAAGAAAAAAAATTTGCTCAAATGACAAAAGGGTATTCATTAGAACATGATTTGAGATTGTTAATAAATAACCCAAAATATAGTGATATAGAGATTGTATGCAAAGATGAAAAGAAATTACATGGTTGTCGAGCGATTTTAGCTGCAAGATCCGAAGTATTTGACAAATTAATTTATAGTAAAGGAGGAGAAAGTTATGAGAAACGAATTTCTTTTTCAAAGATTAATTCTTCAGGAATGGAAGTTATAATGGAATATGTTTATACAGGAGTTGTTAAAGAGGAATCTTTAACCAAAGAAAATATCATTGACGCTTATATTGCTGCGGACTACTTTAAACTGCCGGACCTTCAAGATTTTATTATGAAGACTGTTAAAAATGCTTTAGAAAAGAATTGCAATGATAATTATTCACCAGAATTGTTATCTAAATTTCTTGATTCAATCCAATTGACAAAAGATAATATTCTTTCTAACCTGTTAGTTGACGCAGTATCGGCTATTCCTCTAAATACCATTGAATTTGGCCGGTTATCTAGTACCACACTAAAGGTTCTTTTATCTTGCACTTATGAAAAGGACAAACCCTTTGTAACCCCAGAATATGAGGTATTTCGATATAGTGCCATTTTAGTTGCAAGGGAGATTTCTAACGATACAACCAAATCCCTTTTGAACCGGTTACCAGCTCTAGAACACATGGATAAGTTTAAGCAAATTGATAAGCCTATTCCGGATCATCATAAAGTTGCTAAAGAATTAGTACCTTTTGCAAAATTTATTGATTTCAGGCGAATTAAAAGTCAAATTTTAGCTAATATCATTGAGCCATTAAACATTATCCCAGTTGAAACGATTTTAAATGTTTATCGACATCGGGCAATGTCATATAATACATATTTGAAAGAAGTTCGCGGACATTTACCAGTTTCTAACAAAAATGGCTTTGTTTGGGATGAGTCAGCGTGTGGATCAAATCTTATTATTGAAGATAATGGGAAAGTTGTACGAGCATCAGCTGCTTGTAATATGCACAAAAGTGTTAGAGCAAAGGTGGCATTCGAAAATCAAGGTACTTTTGAATGGGACGTCATTATTGAAAAGTATTGTGGATATGCTTGGGTTGGAGTGTGTGCAGCAGAATAATTTGTTTATGAAAAGTTTGCAGGTATTCAACGTACTGGATGGGTATTGGGTTCCGATGGTTCAATTTATCATTCTTGCGTACAGATCGCTGGTTATTGTCCTTCATTTCTGAGTGATAATATCAAAATTACTATTCACTTAGACATGAATAAAAGAAACTGTTCATTTACTGTCAATGGTGTAAAATATCCAGCGATATCAGAATGGAATGATCTACCATCATTAGCTTATCCTGGCCTGTTTCGAATTCATTCATCAAATTTAATGTTGAATTATCAATAAATTTATAACAGAAATTATTAATAATGCTAATCATGTTCATAAACTAGCTTTAATTATTTTTCTTTAATTAACACATGTTGTTCGTTATACAATCATGCCAATTTTCGTTGTTGGGACCAAACTAACTTAATAACTCAAATGACTTGAACGCCTTTTCCTAAGATAAACAAATAAATTGATTTATTATGATTCACTTGTGTAGTTATCATTATCAATCTTTATATGAAGACAAGTAGAAGGTTTAAAGTGTAAAAGTGTATCTATATTAAAATTGTAGTAATAAGTCTAGCCCCAAGATATATCCAAAAACTTCTTTGGAAGTACTGTCAACTTTCATGTCTATTTATTGGACTAATACTAAACTACGCCTTTCTATAATAATGATTTTAAACTAAATAAGTGATGAAAGATAAATTAAATAATGTATTAAGCTCTGCAAAATAGATTTAACATTACAAAATTGATAAAGTTTTATAATTTTCAGCGCAATACAATTTTGCAACTAACCCGTCAATTTCTTTCATTTTGTTTAATTTTAGAGTTAATTTTAATACTATGAAATGAAGGCCACACTATCTCAAGAAACTTTCATCGTAGAAATTAGAATTAACTTTAAGCTAAAATCTGAAAGAATAAAAGTGTAATAAATGTTAGTAATCAAGATATATACCATTCCATAAGGTGGAATTCACATTCAAAATTATGATCTAACCTAAAAAAAAACTGAAAGAAAATGTTTACAAATTGACATTATAAAATAAATGTCACGATATAACATTAATTTTCTCATCATTTCAAAATAGAATTTATATTCAGAACCTAATAAAAGACCCATTTCCTTTGAAGTTATGATCATTCTGCAAAATAGAACTTAAGTATAAGCCAAATCCTAAAAAAAATTAATGACTTACCTTATTGATAGGTGTTAATGTTTTGTTAAGTAAGAAATAAATGAAAATTTTATTTTTCTAAATTTCAGTTTAATAAGTTTCTTTTATAACTTCATTAGCGTGAAAATCAAAATTTGGTGTATATGTATAAATTAATAGAATTTCAAATTATACATCAACCATATATTATTTAGTCATGTTCTGCATACATATACAGTCACTTCACAAAGTATCGCAACGTTTGAAATTATATAGTAAAACATATATCATAAATAAAAATGTTATTTATGTAATTTCTCAATTAAAAGTGCCAGTATAACTACAAATGATACTTATCCCACTACTACTCGATCAACTAGAATTCTCGTCTCTCACTGATAAGATTCATCACTAGAAAATACAATTTAAAATGAAATAAAATTTAGAGTGATTTGTAATAGATATAATCGTGTACGATAATTATTAGAAAGTTAAAAATTTTTAATTTTATATTTGTTAAATTATTTCTTTATAATAATAAAAGACAGAAAGCTATAAAATTTATTTCAATTTTATAATTAAAATAGCTCTTGCATCTTAAGTCTAGGGGACATGAATTTATGTTTTGAAAGTACATTTGATTAGCTATAAATTATGAGATAATTTTAAAGAATATATGCAAATATTTATATATTTTATTATATAATTTCAAACGTTGCGATAGTCGCGACAGTACATAAGACATAAGAACATGATAAGAAACATTATTATTTATTTATTGATTGTAAATTTCAATTGAAAAATAGATGAGAAATATTACTCCCAAATATAATAAAATTAGAAAACAGCGAACAATAGGAAGTTTCTGTTCAAAAACGATTGAACATTTATGAGAAGGATGGAATCCAAATAATACACATTCCTTTGAACATTGCAATGTTCTGCTTATAAGAGGAACCAAATGAAATATATGAAGTTTGTCCCCATGTGACTCGTAAAATCTTAATTGACATGGTATTATCATGTGTAATAAATAAGCTACAATTAGTTAATGTAGCTATTAATGGACCTACAAATGCTTACATTAATTTAATGAATTAGAGTTGTATTCTGAAAATCTGAACTGATTCGATTATTAGGAGGACGGTACTTGTTACCTGATCCGTCTGAATTAATATCTAATCTCAATTTAAAAAAAAATTTCATTTAAGAAAGAATTCATCTTTAGACTTTTATGAACAGGCACTTGTATTTCCTAAAGTATACGTATAATCATGAAGTTTATATTCTTAAAAACAAAATATATTCGGTAATAAAATGTATAAACGTTTGTATACAGTCGACCCTCTCTATAGTCACCCCATATTTAGTCACTTCCGCCTTTATAAGCACTTACATTGGCCCAAGTTACTAATAAACTTATTAAAAAAATCTTTAGTCACATCATTTTTTTCAGTCCTGAGGGGAGTTACTATATAGGGGGTCGACTGTATTGATAACCTTACGCCGATAACTCAGCCACAAATTCATTTTTTATTTGTAATCATAAACAGTTAAATATTAAATAAACGTTTTGTAGGAAAATTCAAAAAAAATAGCTCAAATAATTAGAGGTCATGTGTTAAAGTTTCACTAAGACAAATTTTTTGCAGGTAAAAAGGAATCCTTGGCTAAATTTCTTGGAAATTTTACTTACACGAATTAACAAAAATACCCTGTAGATCCCATATTCCGACATTTTGGTCCTTTCAATCATAAGTATTTAATCTAGCTTACGCAGCCCTTATTAATTTAATCCTTTATGAAAGAATTAGACTTTGCTTGCTTTGTTTTAAATATTGTAAATTGATTTTTTCTTACTTCCTTATTAATACAAACCTTCTTTCCCTTAAACGCATTTGCGTTTGGCGAACAAAATGAGTTAGCGCACCTAATTCTGCTTCACATTTGACATCTAAATACTCTATTTCAGTTTTGATCTAAAAAAGGCAAGGAAAAAATAAGTTAGGACGAATTTTCAACTTTATACTAGGGATGGTAACGGTCGCCGTCGTGGTCGGTCAACGGTCGGTCAAAGGCCTTTGACCGACCGATATTGATTCACTCGATCCTGATCTATCTTTTTATATCTCCGCCATTTTTAAACAAAAAAATTTTTAACCTGTAATTTTCCAGGCGATTAACTGAACTTGTACTCTTTAAGAGAAAAATTGCCGCCTCATGATTTACAATTTTAAATACAAATATTTTTATCTTGATTACTCGCAATACGATTTCTCCAATTAATAGATTGATTTTGATTGAATGTACCGTGAAATATTTATAAATCATGTTACTACTTGGAGTTCAATATATATTAGTTTTTAAGGCTTGAAATTGCTTTTCGATATTTTCCTGATTAACACCTAAATCTCTTTAAATTTGATAATTATTTGTTGTTTAACCAAAGAGTCAACCTTAGTGTTTTCTTTAACGATAATCCACTTGGCAATAAAATTCTTTATAATTTCACTCGAAATCCTATGGCTCAGCCCGACACAGCCCCAACCGCAAGCCATTTGTACAGTTAATGCAACAAATATTTAGATTAACCTGGCTTGGCTTGGCTTGATTTTGTGGTTCAGCTTATGACTAAACAACAAAAAATGAATTATATTGGTTTAATATGTTTTGGGCTTAGCTTGATTGAGGTTCAGATTGTAACTCTGCTCTTGCATATAAATACGCGTCCAAAGAACTTGCGATTTCAACCATACTTCATTCAGAAAAAAAAATATTATAATACATTGATTTAATATATTATTATAAAAACCATCATGAAAAACCTTACTTTAATCCTTGTAATCGCTATTTTAACCTTCGGCAGTGTTGTAATTACTGCTACTCCTCAAGTCAAGGGACATAAAGACAGAACTCCCTTCAGGGGAGGACATTAAATCGAATACAGTTGCACGTCTGAAGGATAAGTTGGATACAATAAAAAGATTTAAGGAGGCTTATTTTAATGTTAGTTTCATTGTTTCAATTTTGTTGGTTTTATTATATTTTGTTTTGTTTCAAATTATTTATAAAAATGTAAAACAATAATAGGTTTAAATTAATCTAGAAAATTGTCCATTCATTTCTTTTGAAACATTATGTTCACTTTTGTCTCCTGTTAAATAATAAAAGGAGAAATCCAAGCGTTTTTTTATTGTATTGTATAATTAATGTTAACAATTTTTTAGTTCAAATTTTATTCGGAAGGAATAAATCGAATAAATAGTTTTAATTTACTGCTGAATCAAAAAGATATCTTTTTTAACTTGGATTCCTCATGACCAAATTCCCATCATAATTATTTTTTTTTAAGAATTAAAAGAATCAAATAATTTTGTTAAACAAAAATAAATCAAGTCTATGAAATCTGAGTATAGAGACGATTCCATCACTATTGAGATAATGTTAATCAGAATTGTTCTAGCCTTCCTTGCAAGCGTACGCAGCTAATATTTTTTATTTATATAACCATAAAGCTGTTATCTCATAATTCAAAAAAGAATCAGTGATTTTTCATGATCTTCATCATATTTTTTATTCGTAAAATTTTTATCACGGACGAAATATTTTTTATTATGAGTTTGAATTTAATAACCATACGTGCGTAAAGTATTCATAGAAAAGTGATTTTACCCTTTATCTTGTAAGCACACGAAATTTATAATTTCGGTTCATTTAATTTACTAACGCCTTTGTTTAAATATTTGGTTGGATTTTAATATCAATGGATTACTAGTAGTGCTCCGAGCCGATAGAGCTGACCCACCTGGGACTATCATTTTAATGACACGGGTCCTAATTCAAAAAAACACGTTGGGTCAGGGTCACGTTGTTGCTTGACCCGAGTGACCCGGATGATTTAAACAATAATACGTAAACAATTACAGGTAAAAAAAAAAAAATAATAAAAAATTTTAAAAATAAATAAACTTTATACGACACTTTATTTTCGGCATTAATATCACCCTTTAAAATTCGAATCGAATCCAGATTAAACAATAATCGGGTCGAGTTGAATCTGAGTCGAACAATGATCGAGACGAATTTGGGCACTGTAATTATTAACAAGTTCGAGTTCGAATATGCCTTAAACCTGACCCGACTCGAGCACTAATTACTAGAAAATTATTTTTTTATAAAATTTAATTCGTTCGTGATTTATGAAACTGATTATACGTTATGTAGAATCTTTTAAGGTCCAACAATTATTTGTCATAGGAGATTTAATTCTTAAAGGGTTATTGTCAATAAACACTTTGACGTTCATTTCGTGATTAAGTGAAGATGGTAAATATCTTTATGTCTTTAATAAATTACGAGAACTTTCAAAAAATAAACAAAAAATCAAATGAATATTGACAAGGAATAAACAATTATTAATTCTTATAGGCAGTGATGTGCACTTGGAAGATTGGAAGCACTCATGGAAGCACTTTTGGAAGGGTTGGAAGCATAATACTCTAATAAATTCATTTGGATTGGAAGCTTCCAATCAAATTTTATACATTGGAAGCATAAAATGCACATCACTGCTTATAGGAGTACCATCACTTGAAATTCTTACTTATCATTGACTTTTAAAAAGTCATAGTGGATAGGATATAAATAAACAACAGAAGATGTTATAACATAACTGTTATTCTTGAACCACCTAGCATCGCCGACCAGATTTCTTAAAATGACTAAACATCTTCATGTACTAGTACTTGATATTTATCATCCGAGGCTATTTTTGAATTGATCGTTTTTTTGATTTTATGAGATACATTTTCATATTATAAAACTTGTATTCCACAAGCTCTTTGTTTGTCGTGGACGACTTGAAATTCTTCCAATCAATCTTAAAAAAATTGACACCTCACTTTTTTGAAATCCTAAAGAAATAACTTTTTTTTATGCAATATCAGGTATTATTTTATTGTTAGAATGAGTTAATTCATTTCTTTTAGTAGTTGTTACACAAAAGGAAATTATTTTCGAGAAACTTGAATGAAAATGTCAGGAGTTAAAACTCTTTCTCCTTTCCCACCCGACCATATTTTTCAGAAAAATGAAAAATTTATTTTTTAGTAGTTTTTTATTATAAAACTTCGCTATCTTTTCACCCTTGAGTATTACCAAATAATCTGTCTGCATTTTTCAGTTTACCTATACTTTGTGTGTGTCAAAGGAGCTTCGGCTAGTAGGGAGAATTATTCGCATAATACTGGCTAGTGTTCGAATAAATATTTTTAGGAAGAACGAACTTAACGCTGTAGCCAACGCGCACACTGAAGTTTTACTTCAAAGTGGCCTGCGTTTGGAAGACTCGCACCTGGAAACACCAAGACCTTTCACCTATTATGCAGTACCTCCAAGACATAGTCTTATAGCCAAATACACCCCGGTGGAGGGAGTCTACGCTATGCGTGTAAGTCTTTGTAGGGAATGTCGAATAACCTTGGGAGAAAATGAAAATTTTCGTTATAAGGCCGGTGCCTCGTGTTAGTCGTCTTGGTCTCTCGCTTAAGTCTCTTGGATGTTTTAAGATATACTTCACCCTTAACCTTTGGAGTTAGGAGCCTATAAAGAGTGGTCTCTCTCTAGTATTGTTTGTTTTCTATTCCTTCTCCGCAGATCTTTCTTCAATTTAGAAAGATTAAATAGACCGATTTTTTTTTTCATTTTTTACTTCTTTTATAAATGAAAATAAAAAATTTTTTACTCGTTTTATGTATAATTGTCTAATGGATTTAATTATTATTATTATTATTATTTTTTGATAAATAAAAATTAACGATCCGCCCGCTTTTTTTTAATTTATAACTAGTATCTATATTTATATACCTTATGCTCAGATAACAGCTTATCGATTGCAATGAAATGTTGTTCAACTATGTTAGATTCGACTTGTATGAAATG